TTCTGCCTCAGCCTCCCAAGTAACTGGGATTACAGGTGCATGCCACCATGCCTGGCTAAGTTTTGTATTTTTAGTAGAGACAGGGTTTCACCATACTGGCCAGGCTGGTCTTGAACTCCTGACCTCAGATGATCTGTCCTCCTTGGCCTCCCAAAGTGCTAGGATTACAGGTGTGAGCCATGGTGCCAGACTATACACCCAGAGCTGTTGATTCAGTAGGTCTGTGGCCCAAGAATTTGCATTTTTATCAAGTTCCCAACTGATGCTGTTGCTGCCAGTCCAGGGACCACACTTGGAGCACCATTGTCCTGGAGAATAAAGTCCGTGCTCCTTAACCTGCCATTCAAACCCTTGCCCAGCCTGGTCTTCAACCTACTTTCTAGCTTCATCTCTTATCCTTTCCTTCCCCCTCCACACACCCAGGGCTCCAGTCACACTGCAGTTCTCACTTCTCTCTAAGCAGGCCAGCTGTTCACACCTCTGTGCCTTGCTCCTTTTGTCTGGAATGTTATCTTCTGCCCAGCAATTTTCTTTCCACATCCTCCCTGAAGCCTTTCCTGACCCTCTAAGCTGTTGTTAAGTCTTTCTGTGCCCCAGGTCCCTGCCAACTTTGCACAGTCTCTTTTTTTTTTTTTTTTTTTTTGAGATGGGGTCTCGCTCTGTCCCCCAGGCTGGAGTGCAGTGGCGCGATCTTGGCTCACTGCAAGCTCCGCCTCCTGGGTTCACACCATTATCCTGCCTCTGCCTCCTGAGTAGTTGGGACTAAATGTGCCCGCCACCACGCCCAGTTAATTTTTTGTATTTTTAGTAGAGAAGGGGTTTCACTGTGTTAGCCAGGATGGTCTCAATCTCCTGACCTCGTGATCCGCCCACCTTGACCTCCCAAAGTGCTGGGATTACAGGTGTGAGCCACCGCGCCCAGCCTACACAGTCTTCTTATTGCTCTTGCGGCCTAGTGTTTTGATTGTCTGTCTAGCTGTGTCCCCATCTCTGGAGCCTTAGTCACCTCCATAGCTCTCAGCCATGGCGACAGGGTCACTGAGTGAGGGAACAAAAGTATAATGAGGAAGTGGAGGTGTGTGGATGAGTGAATAAGTGAATGGAGTAATTAGGTAAGTGAAGAAATGGGGAGTTTATTGATACCTAAGCGAGTGAGTTACAGTCTACTGGGCTTGGTTCTTTCCATTGAGTCCTGAGCTAGAGGCCAAGAAAGAAATGTATTCCCTGACCACATTTCCACAAAGTTCCTGTCATCACTTTCTTTTCAGCAGGGGCCAATTGGGACCCAGAGCACTCAGTGCCTAGAGTACTCAGGAGCAGACAGGGGCTGGGGACCCACTGTGGGTCAGAGCCTACCCTCCCCATTTGCACTCACCCTGGTGTTGCTGAAAGTCAGCTGTAAGGCATTTGGGACTCTGGGGAGGTCATGTTGTGCAAGACAGATGCTTTCTAGGGCCAAGACACAAAAGGCTTTGCCTCCAAACTGGTGATAAGGAATCAGAATTGTTTTGAGTTAAATTTGGAGATTTGAAGTATTGGAACTAATCTGCCCTCGTCATGACAATCCAGCTTCCTCCACACTCATAAAGGAGGCATCTTTTGGCTCCAGCAGACACTCTGATATGATTGTAAGAACTTTGCCAGGGATGGTGCTACCTGGGGGCAGCAACTATTCCTACATCAAGGCTGCATGGCCTCAGTAAAGCACAGCATCTCTTTGAGCTTCTGTGTCATCTGCAGGCTGGAATATTACTCTCCTTGGAAGTGCGTGGTAAGCATCAGATGGGAGGGGTGGGTAAAGGGCCTGGCACAGTGCCAGGCAGATAGTAGGTATGCAGCAGAGAACAGCTAGAGTGCTCATGACTGATCCTTGAAAGTTAAGTTTCTTCTCTGGTGAACTAGGCCCAGTCGGTCTTCTAGGGTTCTTCCATTTATATCTGTCTTCCTTCTTTCACAATTCTATCCAATTTTAGGACGTCAGCTCTCATCCCACCTCCTCCGCAAAACTGTCTCTGTTCTTGGAACTCTCTATCAACAACGCCCACCATACTTATGGTGTGGCCCAGTGAACATGGAATTGAGTGGTTAAGAGGAGGGGGTCTTCGAGCAGAGCTGCCGTGTATGGCTGCATAGGTTGGGCACTGGCCAAGTATAGGGAGTACCGTTCACATACACTGTAATGGGAGTGGGGCCTCAGTGAGTTGTAATGAAGAGGCTCTCTCTGCAAGCCAAATGGCCTGAGTTTGAATGTTGGCTCAACCACTCAGTTGCTTGACAAAGCAAGGTGTGTAACCTCCTAAGGCTCAGTTTCCTCATCTGTGAATGGGATGTTATTATGGGGTAGCTGATACCTACCCCATAATATTAGGTAGTTGAATGAGTTCAAAACAGTGCCTGGTACATACTAACATTTACTGAGCACTTAATTGCATTATCATTATGATTATAGTTGGTTTCTCATCATTGCATGTGTGGGTGTCTTTTCTCTCTGAGAAGGCTGTGAGCAACCTGGGGACAATGAGTCACTGAGAAATTGCAGCAGCTTGGCCCAGCACCTAGTGGGAGGCAGGGCCTCATGCTGTCCTCTCTCTCAGGATGCTACTTCATCTTTCTTTTTGCCAAAATTCACTTGTAAGAGTTAGGCCTTTTTTAGTTACAAATCACAAAACTCTAAAGCAAACTAGTTTAAGCCAGAAGAAGTCTTTGTGGGCTGATATATGTGGGAAGTCTAAGGGAGGATCCGGTGGCTTCAGGAATAGCTGGATGCAGCGCTTCTCCTTCTCCTGGCTCTGCTTTTCTGAGCTGGCTTTATTCTCAAGCAGGTTTTTCCCCATGGGAGGAGCGCAGGTCACTGGGGTAGCCTGAGCTTATCATCTGTGGCTTATGGTCCAAAAAGAAGTGAAACTCTCCTCTCAGCATTCATAGAGCAATATTATGGAGGGCCTCGAGTGACACAGCTTGGGTCACATGCCTGCTTCTGGGACTAATCATTGTGGCCAGAGGGGTTGGCACTTGACTGGCTGTGGGGAAAAGAAAGAGAGATCAGACTGTTACTGTGTCTATATAGAAGGAAGTAGACATAAGAGACTCCATTTTATTCTGCATTTGAGATGCTGTTAATCTGTGACCCTACCCCCAACCTTGTCCTTGCAAGAGACATGTGCTGTGTGACTCAAGGTTTAAAGGATTTTGGGCTGTGCAGGGTGTGCTTTGTTAAACAAGTGCCTGAAGGCAGCTTGCTGGTTAAAAGTCATCACCATTCTCTTAATCTCAGGTACCCAGGGACGCGTACACTGCCAAAGGTCACAGGGCCCTCTGCCTAGGAAAGCTAGGTATTGTCCAAGGTTTCTCCCCATGTGATAGTCTGAAATATGGCCTCATGGGAAGGGAAAGACCTGATCGTCCCCCAGCCTGACACCCGTGAAGGGTCTGTGCTGAGGAGGACTAGTGTAAGAGGAAAGAAGCCTCTTGGCAGTTGAGATAGAGAAAGCATCTGTCTCCTGCCTGTCCCTGGGCAATGGAACATCTCGGTGTAAAACTCGATTGTATGTTCTGTTTACTGAGAAAGGAGAAAACTGCCTTAGGGTGAAAGGTGGGACTTGCTAGCTCTTTATGCACTAAAAGGGTTTATGAAGATGTTTGCATATGCATATCAAGGCACAGCACTTTTCCTTAAACTTATTCATGTCACAGAGATCTTTATTCATATGTCTTACTGCTGACCTTCTCCTTACGATGATCCTATTATCCTGCTACTTCCCTTTTTTCTAAGATGGTAAAGATAATTATCAATAAATACTAAGGGAACTCAAGAGACCGGTGTCAGCGTGGGTCTTCTGTATGCTAAGTGCCGGTCCCCTGGGCCCACTTTTTCTTTCTCTATACTTTGTCTCTGTGTCTCATTTCTTTTCTCAAGTCTCTTGTTCCACCTAATGAGAAACGCCCACAGGTGTGGAGAAGCAGGCCACCCCTTCACTGGCCAAGCTGGGGCCATGTGTCCACCCTAGTTTGGCAGTCAGGTAAGAGCCATGTGTGATGGGGAAGGGACACTTCTCCAACAGAGAGGTGCTGGGTGTACGAGAATCTCAGCCATGTTCGCCCTCCTTCTTTATGGCTCAGTTCATAGGTCACTTCCTTAGGGACCCTTACCCTCCCTTCTCCCCTGCGTGGACCTCAACCTTCCCACAGTAAATTGCAAATTATTCCCTGATTCTCTGAGACCAGTCTTGGAACAACTTGAGGCAGGTACCAAAGCATATTAATTCATCTGTGTCCCTCAGGCCAAGCTTCCTGCCCCAGGTGTGGAAGGGTTGTTGTTGTTGGCCTATCCAGCATTCACTTCCCCGCTTCCTACTCAGATCTTGTTAGGTTTTACTCTCTCTTCACCACCTTGATGGAGTAGCAAACTCCACTCTGGCATAAACCCATTACAGTCTCTCTTGCCACAGTGACTGAGGAATGGGCATGTGAGACTGAGTTTGGGCCACTGAAACATGATGGTATCTGGGAAAAGGCTTCTTGCTCCTGTAGGTGGGCCATGGAAGCCCACTGGCTCCCGCTCCCTGCTGTGCTGGATGTAAATGAGGAAGCATCTGGCCTCAACTGCTCCACTGCCACACTGCAGCCAGAGAAGGACTCACCTTAGGCAGAGGTTGACACTGTGGAGGGCAGTGTAGCGACCCCTAAGGAACCTGGACCCTTAATGACCCTGAAGAATTGCTAGATTGGCTAACCATGTAGGCCACCCTGTCCCAGGACTGCCAAGCCTGCAACCAACACATTTCCTTATTATGAATCCACTTTGAGCTGGAGGGCATTCTTACCTGCAGCCACAAGTATCCTCAGAAAGAGGTACTCAGAAAGAGGTACTCAGTTCTCCCTGACTGAATGCCATGGGTTAGTGGCCACGGGCTGAGAGCCACCAAGCATACCCCCTACAAACCTTACCACCCACACTGGTTCCTTTACCCCACCGTTACAGACATTCAAAGACTGGATGCTTTTTTTGAAAAACCACAGCAGTCACTTTATTCTTAAGTTTGCACTTTACAAAACCACAAGGGAGAAGTCCTTGAAGGGGAAACAGGGGCAGGGGGTTAGGGAGTGGGGGATGGTAAAGGGGGAAGAGGAAGACCAGGAAACGAAGTCCCCTCCAACCCCATCTTGGGGACCAAGCAGAGACTAGGCCTCAGGCCAGCCCAGCAGGGCTTCCTGTGTCCTGGCTGTACAGAGCTAGGCCAAAAGACCTCAGGGGAAGGGCCACGGTCCTCTAGAGACTGTCGCCATTTGAGGGACAGCCACAGGCCAATGCTTCCTGTGCCCAAAGAAGGAAGTGGGCCTCCCTTCCCCTCCCCGAGGCCAGATAATCAGCCTGAGGCAGGGGTGAGGGCTACCCATCCAGCAGCTTCAGGATGCTCTCGCGCTCCTTCAGAGTCTTCCAGGCCTGGTCCTTTTCTTTCTTGGTGGGAGTCCGCTTCTTCTGCCGGGCAGCCATGATCTTGCGAAAGGCGTCCATGACCTCGTTGTCAGCCATGCGCACCCGCTGCCTCAGCTCCTGCCGGCTCACCTCCTCCTTTGCCAGCCTGTGGGGACCAGCCAGCCAGGTGCCATGGTCAGCCCACCTCCAGAGAGCGGCCCCTTCCTCTTCAAGACTGAGCCTACCCACCAGCCCAGGCTGGCATGCTTGTGGATTGTGTCATACAGTCGTGACCAAAAAGCAGTTACTGACCTGCACTTATATGGCACTATTTTAAGCTCCTGAAAAAAATACTAACTCATGTTGATCATGGGGGAGGCTGTGCACATGTGGGGACAGGGGGTATACGGGAATTCTCTGTACCTTTCTCTCAATTTTGTTGTGAACTTAAAACTGCTCTAAAAGAATAAAGTCTTGGCTGCACATGGTGGTTCACATCTGCAGTCCCAGCACTTTGGGAGCCCAAGGCAGGAGGATCACTTGAGCCCAGGGGTTCGAGACCAGTCTGAGGAACATAGTGAGACTGTCTTTACAAAAAATCTAAAAAATTAGCTGGGTGTGATGGTACACACCTGTAGTCCCAACTCCAAGGGGGCTGAGGATTGCTTGAGGCCAGGAGTTCAAGGTTACAGTGAGCTATGATCATGCCACTGCACTCCAGTCTGGGCAACACAGCACGACTGTGTCTTTAAAAAAAAAAAAAGGTCTTAAAAATATATACAGTAGGCTGCGTGAAGTAGCTCGTGCCTGTAATCCCAGCGCTTTGGGAGGTAGAGGCAGGAAGATTGCTTGAGGTCAGGAGTTTGAGACCAGACTCCTCAACAGAGCAAGACCCTGTCTCTTAAAAAAAAAAATACACACACACACACACACACACACACACACACACCCCCACACACACCCCCACTCTCTCTTTCAGTTAATCCTAAAAACCCTACAAAGTATGTACTATTATTCCTATGTTACCCGTGAGGAAAATGAGGCTCAAAGATGATCCCAGGATCCCACAGTGAGTAAGTAGGAGATCTGGAGCAGGCTGGGGCTAAACTCTTATTTTTAAATACTGTTCTTTAACAGGTGTTCCAGTGCCAGCAGAAGGCCTGCTTACTTCAGCATCTACATTCCAGAGCCCGCTAAGGTCTAGGCAGCCTGAGGCTGACAGGAGGTGGGTAAAACACCAAATCAATCTCTCTGAATAGGATCTGATTTATACATTTCATTGATAGTGGAGCTGGAAAGTCACTTAGTGATTGAGTCCAGCCTGCCCGTTTTCCAGAAGAGGAAGCTGCTGCTCAGGTCAGGGAGTGCTTAAGGCCTTGCAGCTGCTGTGCAGCAGGGTAAGGGCTGTGCTCTGGTTTCCTGAGAGCTGCAAGCCATTTCTTCATTGCCCATTACTTCTTTTTTTTTTTTTTTTTTTTTTTTTTTGAGACAGGTCTCACCCTGGCTGGAGTACAGTGGCCTGATCAAGCTCACTGCAACCTCCACCTCCCAGGATCAAGTGATCCTCCCACGTCAGCCTCCTGAGTAGCACTATAGGCATGTGCCACCATGCCTGGCTGACTTTAAATTTTTAGTAGAGATGGGGGTCTCACTACATTGCCCAGGCTAGTCTCGAACTCCTGAGCTCAAACAAGCCTCCCACCTCAGCTTCCCAAAGTGCTGGGATTATAGGCATGAGCCACCAGGCCCAGCTAAGGCCCATTACTTCTGTAACCGCACATGCCTGCTTTTCTCTCTCTTCCTCTCTCCCTCTCCTTCCCTCAGTGCTCCTTCCATCTGTGTTTTCTTCTTCTCACCTTTCAGAGAAAACGTGAACTATTACAGAAAGAGGCTTTGATTCAGCCATGGGCTCAAGTCTCAGCTTGGCTGTTTATTGAGTGTGTGACCTTCAGCAGAGCACTTCGCTTCGCTGGGCCTTTATTTCCTCATCTGGTAAACAAGGAAAACAGCACTTGCCTCCTGGGTTGTTGTCAAGACACTTGAGAGTGTACATAAAGCCCCTGACACACAGTAGGCACTCAGCATACATTAGTCACCCTTATCCTTAAATACCCTGGCAGCTTGTCAGCAACTACCTCTCCTTTTAATGGCACTCGTCTTTACTGATCATCTGCTAGTAATCTGCAAGTCTCTTGCTGTGCCTCTCTTGCTGGTCCCTAGCACAATGTCTAAGAGACAGTAAGAATGGCCAAATGATTAGCTGGGCATGGCGGTGGCACATGCCTGTAATCCCAGCTACTCAGGAGGCTGAGGCAGGAGAATTGCCTGAACCTGGGAGGCGGAGGTTGCAGTAAGCCGAGATCATGCCACTGCACCGCCTGGGCAACAGAGTGAGACATTGTCTCAACAACAACAAAAAAGGCCAAATGAATGTGTATGTCCTGTCCTGTCAGGGCTCTATGAAGTTAAGACACAGCACTTGCCTGTGAGAAGCAGAGACTTGTTTGGGTTGCTTCCCTATCTCTTTAACTAAAGGGTAGCTATTCCACAGTCTTCCTCCAGATGTCACCTATACCTTTGTTGTGATCAATGCAGAACAAGATGGATGGGAGTTGACATCAAATGAATGGTAGGCACTGTGATGGATTCCCAAAAGAACATGTCCTAAAACACTGGTCAATTTCTTGTGATAAGCAAATAAAAATCACAGATCTCTAACAAAATGTTAATAGTTAATTAGTCTAGGTGGAGAATATGCTGATGTTTATTGTATGATTCAGATTTTCTGCATGTATGAAATTTTTAATAAAAAAACTTTGGGGATAAAAAGAAAAGCAGCATGAAAAGACAAAAAATAAATCACACAACAATGTGCATATGGGTAACACTACTAAACTGCACATTTAAAAATGGTTAAGAAGGGTAAATTTTTTTTTCTTTTCTTTTTTTTTGAGACGCAGTTTCACTTTTGTTGCCCAGGCTGGAGTGCAATGGTTCAGTCTTGGCTCACTGCAACCTCTGCCTCCCAGGTTCAAGCGTTTCTCCTGCCTCAGCCTCCCATGGGGATACATTTTACATTATGCCTCTACCACAATTAAAAAATCAAACCAAATCAAATCAATCGATCAATCAATCACAGGTGCCTGAGCCCCACTCTGTGGAATTAGAATTTGTTTGACACATACCCGGTGGACTGGCCACTGCTGTTTCGAGGCTCTCCAGGTGATTTAGAGACCAGCCAGGCTTGGAAAGCCTGTTGTAAAACCCCTGGAAGGTGACCAGCTGTGGCCACAGCCTCCAAGGCCACCCGCGGGACTGTGCATCCTGCTCACACTCACCTCAGCAGGTCGTGCTTCTTGGTGCGGTTGTGGGCACTAAGTGCCTTCAGCTCCGCCTGCCGTTTGCGCAGCTCAGCAAGGACCTCATCCTCAGAGTCCTCTGCTGGGCGGTCCTCAGACTCCAAAAGGCCCTGGGCAATTAGCTCCTCCTTGATGCGGCTCTCCAGGGACTTAGTATGCGGCACACTGCAGGGGGAGGCAGGCCCCTGTCAGACTCAAGAGCCAGCTTGGAGGAGGGCCCACCTTGGAGGTTCCCAGGGCTTCCCAAGCTCAGTGAAAACCTGCCTTTCCCTTTGGGCACCCCCTCTGTATCTATCCAGATACAAAGGGAAGGACAGACACATCTGGTCTGGTTTTTAAATACAAGCAACATATGTATCCACTATCCAAAAAATATGGAAAAACCTGTAATGCCAACGACCCAGACAGAATCACTATTATTTTGTTATATGTTATTATATATATTCCAGATTTTGTTATATATTATTCCCAATCTTTTACTACATATTAGTCCAGGTTTTTTCCCCTATGTGCATGTATTCAAATATATTTTAAGTAGGCCAGGCATGGTGGCTCATGCCTGTAATCCCAGCACTTTGGAAGGCCGAGGTGGGAGGATCACCTGAGGTCAGGAGTTCAAGACCAGCTTGGCCAACATGGTGAAACCCCGTCTCTACTAAAAATACAAAAATTAGCCTGGCATGGTGGCAGGCGCCTGTAATCCCAGCTACTTGGAGGCTGAGGCAGGAGAATTGCTTGAATCTGGGAGGCGGAGGTTGCAGTGAGCCAAGATTGCGCCATTGCACTCCAACCTAAACGACAAGAGTGAGACTCTGTCTCAAAAAAAAAAAAAAAGAGGCTGGGCACAGTGGCTCAAGCCTGTAATCCCAGCACTTTGGGAGGCCGAGACGGGCGGATCACGAGGTCAGGAGATCGAGACTATCCTGGCTAATACGGTGAAACCCCGTCTCTACTAAAAAATACAAAAAAACTAGCCGGGCGAGGTGGCGGGCGCCTGTAGTCCCAGCTACTC